TAACCTCCTCTACAATCCTTAAACTAAAGTGGTCTTTTATTCCTGGTCCTAGTGGGTTGCAACCCTGGTTTCAAGGTTTAAGATTAATGGTTTCCCTCACCCTACACCAGGTTCTCTTAACAGGTTGCATATTCAGGGGTGAAAATATCCCTTTTCTATTTCCTGAGATCTAGCCTCTATCACATCCAACAAAATTGCTCTTTTCCTTTAGTTAAATATATGTCAAGAATCCACTAAGTGACCTGCCATCTGCTGATGTGAGAGAAAAAACATGGCAATAAACCTTTGGCTCCTCATCACTATCTAGTTAAGGTAGGCAGAAGAGAAAACAGATAATGCCAACAAAAGTAGTAGTCAGAGCTTTTTAAATTGTGGTACATCCAGGCTACCACTTAGCAGTCATGCTGGTTCCTCCATACCAGGTGTTAAATACTGAAATAATTCTGCATCTGTCACTAAATAACATGGCCATACCTTGGCTGGTTCCAAGGGTTCTTGGTGCCCCCTACAACTGTGGAGGTGGAGGGATTATATCTGATTCAATAAAGGACCTCCCAGACTCCCACACCTCTGCTCATGTGCCAAGGAAGCTGTAGAGTTATTAAATATTTTGAACAATATCACTAGATATAAATAAAGGGCTTAGGGGGAGCAGGGGAAGAAGTAGGCAATCCCGGGGTCCTGAAACTTGGTCCCTGTGATGGAATTTTTCTTAACTTATGCATATTGGGAGGAGCTGTTAGAACTGCCACTGCCTGGAGAGGTGGATGTAAAGAGTCCTGGACTGGCCTCTTCTTCCTCTGAGACTTTCTTTGTTACTGTCTTCCCTTGAGTTTCAAAAAGGAGATCTATCAACAGTAGGCTCTCCCTAAATTCCCTCCTTGAGAGAAAAATGTGAGGACTGGTCTTCTGTCCTGGAACCAGGAAGACCAAATCAACAAGAGCTTTAATAATCTGAGTCAGCCTAGCAGCACGTCAGAAACCGGTATGGGTATTTACATGAACAGGTTATTTGTGACAGCAATGCTGAACGGGCACTTCCTTGTGTTAACGCTCACAATGTTATCTTCCTTTGCAATGGTTCTGGACTCCAATTTGAAAGCTCCCCTCCGCATATTCCTCAGTGCTAAACAGGAGAGCAAGGAGTTCAGTTACTATTTTGAAACCAAAAGGTTGAACTCATTTTGTGAATTCATAAGTAAGAAAATAATAATACTAATGTCCCTTGATTGCTTTGGACATGTTCTAAATTGTTGGTACACAACATCTCATTTAAACCCTATATCCACATTTTGCACAGATACAATTATTATCTCCCTTTTGTAATTTGAGTAAACTTCAGTTCAAAGAGTCAAAAATGTTAATGCTCAGGTTTAAACCTGGAATTCTGTAAGGAAATGAGGTGAAATAGGGAGAAGCGAAATGTTATTACCTCAGAAATGCCTGTCCCATTATTTGTAGTTGACTTGGAGCTATTATAACTAAGATTAGAATTCTTGGATAATTTACTGACTTAGGTAGAGGAAGAATATTTCTGCTTCTTGATATTCTGCAAAGAATGTGCCCAACTACTTTGCAATGGCGCTAGACATAGGCTTATAAAACAAATATCAACTGACTCGATTAGCTGTGTGTTCACTGAACACTTACTATCTGACTCAATTTCGGATAATTTTTCTTGGATACAAAAGAAGCACATATTCAGTCTTGTCTCCTATCCTAAGGACTGATCCTATTATTGTAAAACAGTTGGGTTTTAGCTGCTGGTTTCCTTTTAAGATCAACATTTCCCTTCATGCTATTTTTATGCTTTAAGATTCCTTAAAATGGAAATGAGATATTAAATAATGAATGCATTTATATTTAAATTTAAATGGTCATATAATCCTTTAACTTGCCAAGTTCCCTCATGTCCCTCTCCTTTTAAATTTATTTGTTCCTCTTGAGCAAATGGCAGATGTAATATGTCATGTTAAGGTATTCATTAGCTTTCTGATCTTGGTGATTTTCACAGTGTTGAAAAGAATCTACACAGCAGTTTATTAGCCTGCTCTTGAGAATGTGTGTTTGATCTGTCTTCTGACTTCAAAAAAAAATGGAAAAGTAATATGCATTAAATATAGTTCTTTGAATGTCAAATGGGTATATGAATTTTGAGCTTGCCAAGTGTTAATTGGTCTCTTCCCCAGTGATGATACAAATAAAATTCATAGCCAATTAGTTTGCAGTCATGAATCTTACTCCCTGACAAAGTGTACTACTTTGTTGAGGAGACCGAAGAAAATGAAGAAATTACTAGAATCGCCTCACTGAGAGTCTTGGCACAGAGAAGTTACCTTTAAGAAACCCTGAGTAAAAGGGGAGCGATGGATACCCATGTAACTCACGATATGTTTTGATCTTTAAGGTGGTTTATTGGAAGAGGTTTGCATTAAGGTTTCAGAACTACAATTAAGGAGACAGATGAACTGTTGTAGTCACTGAAATGAAATATTGAATAGTTAAGACTTTCCATCTTAGTCACACTAAATCATACTGTGCCTCAGTGCTGGAAGATGAGGACTTGGAATTGGATGAAATAGTTATAATCATGCAAAGACTCTGATACAGTGCTAGGGAGTGCCACAGGATGCCAATTACAAGGCGAAAACTGGCTTGCTCTCTTTTTTTCAAGCTTAAAAAGGAAATTTCATTAAAATTTCCCTTGAGTCTTTGCATTGACTCATGGAGATATGAATGTCTGTGACAGAAAAATGGAGTCATTTTATAAAGGTCTTGGCTATATTTTTAATTCATTTACTACTTTTAGTATTACTTTAGAAATAATGATGTGATGGTTGATTTTGTTGCCAGAGGTAGAGATAACTGAGCTGACTACCACCATTGCTTCAATCTTTAGAAGACTGAAAAACTATGAGAAATCAAATTATAAATGCAATATTAATCACATTTTGGACAGTGTTGTCTCAATAGCTCTATTTTTCAATTTCATAAAAAGGCAAAATTTCAGGAGTTAATTTTACAAAAACTCAAATCACCCCTATCTATGGGACCCATATACAGGTCCAAGTAACAGAAATATGCAATATTTTGACATATGCAATAAAGAATGGAAAGTCCAAATGGCTCAGTGCAGTTTGGATGCTAACCAGGACCACCTACAAATTGGCAGCTACATCACTTGTCAAATTAAAGTTTGCCTGGGTTTATTGGATACTAGATCAGTTAGGGCAGCCATTTGGAGCCTATAAAGGATGTCATTTAATAATCATATGAAGGTAGCATTTTCTTTAGAATTTAGAATTATTAACAAATGGAAGATTTTCCCCAACGGAATGCTCTGAGATGATGGTAAATGTCCCCAAGAGAACAGGCAGTCTCCTGGGAGTCATGTAGGCCTACTCCCAAAGACAGGAATTTTCAAAGGGCACAGTATTGTTTGGTGCTAATGAAAAGTCACAGCATGAATTTGATTTTTAATACTTCATTAGCAATACATATGCTTTGTTTTAGCAGAAACAAAAAATAAAAATGAAGAGCATGATGGAAAGCTCATAGGACAAAACTAATTGACACCCATTATTCCTCAAATGTGTTCTATTCACAGTGTGTATATATGGCATTTAGGGATGCTCATGATTACATTACTGGACAGGGGATTGACATGTGGGGTCCATGCTTCTATCATGGAACAGTAAATTCATGTGTGTGGTCACAGGTTCACAGACACAGACACACACACACATCCTCCTTCATCTCACTTTTTTTTTCATTTTCAATTATCTTTATATACAGAAGATCGATTTAGTATATATTAAGTAAAAATTTCATCAGTTTGCACCCACACAGAAACACAAAGCGTAAAATACTGTTTGAGTACTAGTTATAGCATTAATTCACATTGGACAACACATTAAGGACAGAGATCCCACATGAGGATTAAGTACACAGTGACTCCTGTGGTTGACTTAACAATTTGACACTCTTGTTTATGGCGTCAGTAATCTCCCTATGCTCTAGTCATGAGTTGCCAAGGCTATGGAAGCCTTTTGAGTTTGCCGACTTTGATCTTATTCTGACAGGGTCATAGTCAAAGTGGAAGTTCTCTCCTCCCTTCAGAGAAAGGTACCTCCTTCTTTGATGGCCCCGTTCTTTCCACTGGGATCTCACTCACAGAGATCTTTCAGTTAGGTTTTTTTTTTTTTTCCCCAGAGTGTCGGCTTTCCATGCCTAAAATACTCCCATGGGCTCTTCAGCCATATCTGCATGCATTAAGGGCTGATTCTGAGGCCAGAGTGCTGTTTAGGACATCTGCCATTCTATGAGTCTGCTGAGTATCTCGCTTCCCATGTTGCATCGTTCTCTCCCTTTTTGATTCTATCAGTTAGTATTAGCAGACACTAGTCTTGCTTGTGTGATCCCTTTGACTCTTAGACCTATCAGTGTGATCAATTATGAACTGAAACTGATCACTTGGGCTAGTGAGATGGCATTGGTACATGCCACCTTGATGGGATTGTATTAGAATCCCCTGGTATGTTTCTAACTCTACCATTTGGGGCAAGTCTGATTGAGCATGTCCCAAACTGTACATGTCCTCCCTCTCTTATTCCCACTCTTATATTTAACAGGGATCACTTTTCAGTTAAATTTCACATTTTTTGCATATAATCAAGACCAATACAATATTGTTGGTACATAAAAACCATACCACCTCTCTCTGATTAGTACTAGACTAAATAAAGCAGTTGTTCTGATTTCTTGAAAGAATGAAAAAATTAAACCAAGCTGCCTGTGGCTTTGTCCAGTGGGGCATTCTAATTGACTCACAAGTCATTAATCAGTTCCCAATCAATCTATTTTGCCAGCAGTAGGCAGTTAGGATGCCATTACCAACCATTCATCATGCCATACCTTAATTCACTGCACCATTAGCCATGGATTAGGCCTCTATTAGAATAACTAATTGTCAATTGCTAAATGGAAAGAATTTTTGTTACCTCAGCCACTGGGATCCCTTCGGGTGGCCGGCATTGGAGTAAGACTTCTTGTTCTAAGGATACTTCCTTTCCCAGGGGTTCCTGCTCAAATGTCTTCCGCAGATCTGGAAAGCACAAATGATAAATGTGTGTCAACTAAATCTCATCTATCCATTTACAGAAAACGCAAAAAATATTTCCTCAGCTTTGTAGTTTATGCCTTTTTATTTTTTTAAACCCATTGTTCTTAGTACTGTGCCATAATCTATGTGGTGAAAATTATGAAATTCAGAAGCCATGAAATATACCAACTTTAAACTTCAATTGTAGCCCTTCTGGATCTCCATTTTAACAATTAGTGAAATTCATTAATTACATTTCTTTAGTGGTTCCTGGTAATCAACTATGGTGATCACATTTTTAATCAAAAGAAACTCCTATTCATGTCCCTTGCAAACACAAATGTTGTACTCTTTTCTCACAATAGATATTATTAAAGTTATAGTAACTTTGGAACATTTTGATCAATAAATCAAATGCAAATTGCTGTTTCAGAGTTGGAAAGAGAGTGCTGGAGTCTTAAAAGAATGAATATAACTTCTTGAGATGTCTCAAGCACAATGCAGGGGATAAGCAACTATTGAGAAGAGCCCAGAAGTATGTCTGTATCTAAATAAGTGCCCATTCGTTAAAGGGAAGATTAAATAATTCCTTTTCAAAGATCTGGTTGTGATAGAGTTTTTACAGCAATATGCAGTGAACTTTTAGAAACTGTTAAAGATGGATGCAAAAGTGTTAGAAACCAGCTTTTCATTATGAACACATCATGGGCACCTACTTCAGGAGAAGACTTAACTAAGCCATCATAGAATGGTTTGGCTTTGAACTCAGTAAATTTTATTGAATTTCTACAATTAAGAATTATTCAAAGAGTTTACAGTGTTTAAAAATTCCCCAGTACTTTATTTTACACGAGTAGATTACTGACATTTAATCCAGTAGATTTGAATAAAGATGAATACCTCCTGTCTCCTTTCATCCATGACCCTGATGAAGACATACAATTCTTTGGGGCTAGCATAGTGGGTTAATCTGCCTCCTGTGATGCCAGAATCCTATTTGGACACCAGTTTGTGTCCTGGTTGCTCCACTTCTGATCCAGCTCCCTACTAGCCTGGGAAAATCAGTGGAAGATACCCAACTACTTGGGCTCCTGCCACCCACGTGGGAGATCTGTATGACGTTCCTGGCTTCTGTTTGATCCAGCCCAGGCTGTTGTGGCCATTTGGGGAGTGAAACTGCAGAAGGAAGGACTCTTCATTCTCTCTGTTTCTCCCCTTTCCTAAATCTGACTTTCAAATAAAGCAATAAATTTTTTTAAAAAATTCTGAAAACATCATTGTAGCCAACTGAACCAATGGGTAGCAATACAGAGTCCAGAGGTATAACCCTAACATACCCCTACCAGAGGCACCAACTGGAAAAATGCACTGAGAAAAAAGAATCTGTTGTTACATACTTGTCATTTAGTTGAATTTCTCCACAGAAGGAAATCTTCGAGATTATAGGGCTAGTGAGAAAAATTATAGATCTACGTGGGCCTGTGTTAAGACTAGAGACTATCTATATGATGACAGAATTTCTGTCAGAAGAGCACTTCTAATTTGATGATCAAGAAAATGAGTATGTGGTAGAAATGAACATTTAGAATCCACAGAGTTACAATAATTTGGAAGTTATATAAAGCATGTCCCCATTTAGGTATGAGAAGTATGTTTACCAAATTACACAAAGTCTTACAACAAAATAATTGATGCTACATTAGAACTATTGAATGACGGCTTTAGATATTTTGCAACCCCACATGTGCTTCTAATGTCCCTTTTGTTTAATCTGTATCCTTCCAATAGAAACACTAAGGCCTTTCTCTACTGATAGAGCAATTTCTCTTTGTTATTTTTTATCTCTACTGAGATAAAAATTCTGGCGAAACAGAAGATACCAATAAAATAAGCAGCAATGAATAATTTTATAGGATAAAATGTTCTTGACAAGTTTATCTAGTTTGTGAAAAATGATCCTGAGGAACTCCCATCTGATATGGGGGCGGGAGAAGACAATGACTGGAATTAGCTTTCAGATTAAGTAACATGTTGGCTCACTCTTATTTCAATTAATTAGGAAATCACAAAACAAGGGCTAAGAGAAAGAAAAAGCCAGGCATATATGTATCCAAATAGTTGAAGTAAGTTCATATAGTAGACATTTAATTAGGCACTTAGGATGAAGATGTGAAAGATAGACAATTAAGCCTAGAGAGGTAGGCTGAGGTCTGTTTATGAAAAGCCCTTCTACCGTGTGTAGGAATAGCAAACTCTCAAAGGGTTCTAAGCGAAGCATGGACCACAGATGTCATATTCAGAGTGACAGAGGATTGAGGTTGTGGAGAGGAGACAAAAAGTAGTTAGGGACCCGTTTGAATGGATCCAGAGGGATAATGGGGTCCCTATTTCAGCTAGTGATGGTGGGCAGAAGGAGGAGAAAGCAGATTCTAGAAAGACATCATACCCTCAGGAAGACCTAGGTATTTGGGGAGGGCGGAAAGGCAAGAATAAAGCAATATTCTTAGGTACTACACTGTTAGATTGGTACCAACACCAAACAAAATAGTAGCAAGTTAGGCAAAGAAGTAGGAAGAAAGGCTACACACTTATTTTGGTACCAGTTTGGATTATTTTTATCTATAGGATCTTCAAAAGGAAAAGGCTAGTAGGTCTACATCATGGTTTTCTTTTTTTTAAAAAAAGGATTTGTTAATTTATTTGAATGAGTTAGAGAGAGGGGGAGACAGAAACAGAGAGAGATCTTCTGTTTCCTGGTTCACGCCCTAGATGGTTACAAAAGCCAGGGACGAGCCAGGTCAAATTCAGGAGCTTCATATGGGTCTTCTAAGTGTGTGTAAGGGCCCAAACACTTGGGCCATCTTTTGTTGCTTTCCCAGGCCATTAACAGGGAGCTGGATCAGAAGTGGAGCAGCTGGGACACGAGCCAGTGCTTGTTTGGGATGGTACCATAGCATGTGGTGGTGTTACTCACTATACCACAATGCTAGCCCCCTATATCATGACTTCAAACTTCAACACTACCAGCTTTATGGACTGGATACGTCTTTATTGTGGGGTTGTCTTCTGCAAGGTTGAATACTTAGCATCCCCAAACACCACTCTCTGGATGCCAGTTGAACCCCTCTCAGTCATGATGATGAAACAGTGCCTCCAGACAAAGCTAAATATCCCAGGAGGTGAAAAAGTAGAAAATTAGAGAACCACTGGCTTAGAGCTAGGAAAAGTCATCCTGGTAGGACTTCTTACACTTCATTGTCACTGAAGCACTGCAAAGAGATGACATCACCAGGGCAGGGCCAGTCCCATAAATAAAAGAGGACATGGACATTTAAGAGGAAATGCTGCCAGAGGGTGAGCAAGGAGGTGGGGAAAAGTCCACGGAGATAAGTGTCGGCTTTTAACAAGTGGGGAGGTCAACAGGAGACAAGCAGCAAAGGACTCAGAGGGGAGAGGAACTCACTGGTTTGGGAGATCGAGGCAGGAGAGGGAGCAGAAGCCCAGCTGTGCTGCGGAGTGCATGGGTACTGGGGAAAGGACCATTCTGAGGACATCCAACAACTTCCCAACGTTTCATGGTGACAGAGGTCACTGCAGAGCTAAGGGGCAAGGACTGGAGGGCAGCACGCTATGTAAGTCTCCTTAGGACGTGGTGTGCTTTTTGGCACAGTTTTCAAATTCCTGCCATAAGAGGGCACATCTTCGTTTCCTCATTTCCTGATTGAAAACGGTGATGTCGGCCGGGGCCGCGGCTCACTAGGCTAATCCTCTGCCTGCGGCGCTGGCACACCGGGTTCTAGTCCCGGTCGGGGCGCCGGATTCTGTCCCGGTTGCCCCTCTTCCAGGCCAGCTCTCTGCTATGGCCCGGGAGTGCAGTGGAGGATGGCCCAAGTCCTTGGGCCCTGCACCCCATGGGAGACCAGGAGAAGCACCTGGCTCCTGCCTTCGGATCAGCGCGGTGCGCCGGCCACGGTGGCCATTGGAGGGTGAACCAACAGCAAAGGAAGACCTTTCTCTCTGTCTCTCTCTCTCACTGTCCACTCTGCCTGTCAAAAAAAAAAAAAAAAAAAAAAAAAAAAAAGAAAAAAAAAGAAAAAGAAAAGAAAACGGTGATGGCCAGCGGCACCTAATTCAAGAGTCACATTTAACACAACTGTCATTGAAGACCAGATAATTATTTTGTTTTAATGATTTGGCTTGAAACTGTACAGAAATGTGATCTAATTTCTAAAATGAGCTCACATTTGACCCCCTTAGCAGGCCATACTTCTTGCTGAAAACCACTTTTAATTCCTGCCATAAAACCTCTTTTCTTTGCAGGTTGTGTAGTGAGCATAGAGTGTACTGTGCTGTGCGCCTCCATATCACTCTGCAAGCTGAGGGTGGCCACAGCGAAAGCCTGTCCTGTATCATTTGGGGATATGAGAGAAGGCAGGCCAGATGCCTCGCAGGCAGAGAGAACACAAGGGTGACGAATGAATAAGCATGAAAAACGGACACTTGCCAGCCAGGAATTAGATGTAGAACAGAATGGTACAGAATAACGTGGATATTCCTGTTAGAAGAGAAAAAAAATGAATTCTTGCCCTTGGATGACTATTAGGATTTGACATTTCTGTTTTCTTCCCATTAGTTCTAAGGCTGTTACTAAAATAAGTACAAGTATAAAGTCCTTTCATCATAACCTAGATTACTTTTGCAATGTCAACTTGGCCCTACTCCGATTTAGTTATTGATTCTACCCATAAAAAGAAAAATCAGCTTTGTCATATGCATGCGTTCAGTGAGCTGTTTACTTAAAAACATGAATATTGGCTTACTAAATCCATACACTGAAATCCAATTAGCAGATGTAGAATCAGATCTGAAACAATATGGATTTCTATTTACAATTTACACATAACCCAAGAAAGTCTTTTAACACACATATGTGAGCACACAAAGCCCCCTTTTTAAATGGTAGAATTGTACAGCTTTCAGTAATTTTTGGTCACAGTAATAGT